ATTGATTTCACATTTTTTTATATGCATACAAGTTGTTTTAGAACTTTTTAATACATAAATAAATACGGCCGTTACCAACCTAGGAGTTCAGGCACCTCTCATTCCAATTCTTCGCGAATATAACAGAATAAACGCTACTTATCCAGGGCTTGATATTTTCGGTACTGGGCTGATCGATTTAAAAAGCATTGTTAAGTGCCTATCTGATACCTAATCCGCTATTTTAGTAGTATTTTTTTGCTTTCAGTAAAATCTAAAATTGGACGTGTAATATTTTAATTTGTGTAAGTAACATTTATGTTTATCTATTTGTCATGTATTTTAGAATATACAGCTTGTAACATATACTGTAGATATATCATCATATATGATGTGGTGAACTTAAATTAATAAATATATTATGTTTTCCTCGATAAATAGAAATGTCTATGCATTTATTTTATTTAGACGATTTATCCACAACATAAAACTAAGTCTCCTTATAAATTGCATACTAGATCTTATCGTCTCAAATATATCCGGAGCTGGTGCGGAACTGAGGAAATTGTTTATGGGAAGCGATTCACGGCATAGGCGATTGGACATTTCAAAGGGTACAATCAAAATCCTTCCGCGGTCGACAGTGACTCATATGTCAGCCTTAACATATATTATATATATGCCAAATCGAATGTCGAAATTATATGACCAACAAGATAGATGAAAACATAGTCGATACTTCATTTATTAAAGCTAAACTCAATTTGAAGTGCAATCGTTCACGATTATCCTTAATTTATCCGCTTGGTCAAGAAGCAACAATTATGTGTAAAGCCTTTATAATTAAGAATTCCTATGGCCTTTAATTCAAGTGTAAAGCCTTTATAATTTAAGAATCCTACGGCCTTTTCATCAGGTGTAAAGCTTATATAATATAAGATTCCTACGGGTTTTTAATCAGGTGTAAAGCTTATAATGGTCCAGTATGTTATACAAGCTCATAACGAATAGAGATAATCAAAACTAACTAAAAACGTGTTTGTAAATTTTTGTTCTACTTTTATTAACGAAGTCAAGACTTTTTCAATTACCAGATTTTATGAATTATGTTTAAATAATTTAAATAATCTTAATTATTATTATTAAATAAATTTTATTTCAATTTAAATTATAATAACTGAAATATATTATTTAGGCAAGGTTCCGAAGATACTAGCAGCGTTCCCCTTTTGAATAGCTAGACTAAAATACCACTTCCCTTGTTTTAAAGAAAAATATAATCTAAAGTGTATTAATGGAAAACAAATTATATGTTGTGAACGTAATTACGGACAACGATTAATGACAACCTTATCTTGTAATAATAGGTAATTACAATCTACAATATAACATTTCTAGCATACCTTTTTCATATTTATTCTGTGTTTCAGGATATATCTTAATATATATAATTTACGTGTTACGTTGTTTGTCCGCTATGGAAACTAAACTACTTAACCGATTTCAATCAAATTTGCACACCGTATGCAGTTTGATCTAACTTAAAAGATAGGATACCATCTCAATTTACACCCGCAATATTATTTTATTGCAAATTATTTGTTTATTATTTGACAGTGACAATTCTAACAGATGGCGCTGTGTTGAAAGTACCAACGTTTCACATAAGCTACAATTTAATGGCATAACCACCAAAAAAGCATGGTGGTCCCCATGACTGGTGTTCTCCTACCGTTTCCCTTGAATAGTTTACTACTATGTAAGATAACAAAAACCGTATAGTATTCTGCCTCGCCCATGAAAATGAAACTCAGCTGTAGAATTCTCTGAACACTCTCCGCATTCCATAATTTCACTACGAGAGAGATTGCGTAAAATTATAAAACCTTAACATTTGACGAAACATAAATCGTGCCTTTTCAAATTTAGTCCCCCGAGGAAGTTCGCGCTGTATTGTACTTATCAAACCCCTTTGAAACGTGTCTGTAACTCATCCCATTATTCAGATCACATTTTGCACGTCACCCTCCACAAATCTCAGTAAACGTAGGCAAACAATAGTATACTAGACAGTCTGAAGGTTCTGGGTATAGGCTTTGAAAGCTGGCTTAGATTAAAAGTCGGTTTCTTCATTTTTTTCCGGTACCACTTAAGATCGGGTGAGCCAGGAGTGTTGCCGGCCTTTCAAGAATTGGTACACTTCTTTCTTGGACCCTAAGTCAAATTGGTTCGAAATACATAGCTGAATTAGGTATTAATCCGAACAACTCCTCTGAACAGTCTCCATGTGGTAGAAGATACAGATTACCACAAATTCCAATATCAGATGGAACTAAACTGTTTTTTTTTAAAACGCGGGTATTAAATTTCGTGGCCGAGTTATATTATTAATAATAACAAGAGTTATTAATAATAACAATCGTTATTAATCGAAATATCCAGAGATTTTAATGGCCGTTAAACGATTCAAATAGTTTCCCCTCTATGTTAAGTTGTTTTATAAACGCGAATCTATAATATTATAACGGGGAAGAAAAGATTGGGAAATATTTTTATTTATTAAATAATTTTTAAAAAATTTCGCTTTATATTAGTATTGTATGCTAGAGTAATTACTAATGGCTATATTTATTTCCAAAATATTAAAAAAAAAGCCGGACCGGAACATGCCGCTGACGTTAAATAACGACAAATGAAATTGTTCATTTTTACTTTTTTAAGTTCTAAATTCACATTTACCATTAGTTATCAAATCAATGACATACAGCAGTCGACTTACAATCTAATTAATTAAATGATATTTTAAAAAAATTAACATCATTCATGTAGATAACTGAATATACAGAGGCGGCAATGAAAAAATATAATGCTTCTAAGTTTACATTTTACAAATAGTTCTATTATCGAAATAATTTCAATACTCGCGTCACACTGTCGCAACGGCTTCATAAAAATAGTACGTACAAAAATACGCATCATAAAATATCAAGCGAGCGTGCGTCGACATTATCTAAGTGCTTACGAGTGTGTGGGAACGTTAATTTTTAACGCTTAATATAAGTTACATCTTTGCTTGTTATTTTATGTCTCGAAAGTTAGCTTTTTTTAAACTAATGTAAGAATTCAATCAGCTTATAAATTATCTTTAAATGTCGAGTTTAACATTAAATGAAACAAGTTCTCTGTAAGAGGTGTACCGTTAGACGGAAAATCTTAAATATTCAATGACTTTAAAGACCTAGGACGGTTTTCCGATACATTTCTAGAGTAGCTCTATTCTTATTACACAATTAGATAGAACAGAGCACGAAGGTGACATCAAAGAATTAACGTTTTCGTAAGATTTTATCTTATTTAATCATTTAAAAACAAAAGTTAATTAGAATTGGTGAACTTTATTCACGTCTTATTAACACTGATGAGTGCGTACAAAAATATATCATATTTGGAAATACCGACGTGGTTTTAACAGACTTAAAAATCCGAAGGAGGAAGTTATCAATTCAACGTGTATATTTTTCACATTACTACACATAGCAAGAAAAGCCAAATTTTTACGGAATTTAGATTCAAGTTTACTAATTTGAGGATTAAAATCAATTATAGTTATATATTGAAATCCATATAGTAAAATGTAGGTGTAAAACATAAATTTAGCATGTTTAAATAAGAAATGAAATACAAGCCTAAACGAAGTTGTAGCTTCGCGCGTAGTATAATTATAAGACGTAGTCTAAAATGCCCCACACTTATCTTATTATACACCTAAATGAAGTTATAGCTTCGTTCTAGGTGGATAATACGCGTATTTCTTTAAACTCAACCTTTTCTTGATAAAATATGCTTATTATATACATTTTTACATCATTTTTACATATGTATGTCTCATTTCGTACGTAATTTTAATTTAGTACTTACTTTTAAGATGAATAAGTTGAGATAGCAAGAAAACTGTATTTAAAATTTGGACGTTTAATAAAATAATAAAATTGTGTCCATATAACATTAACAAATGTACAAATTTGAGTTGAATAACTATTAGATCTCTAACTTTGTTGTTACCATTTTTAAGGATCATTTAACTTCCCAACAATAAAGCTTTAACTATCTTTTCATTTGGTTACAATGTAGCCTTATCTAAAAGAGATGCCCTTAATGTATCGATTTATCATCCCACTCGTAAATTAAGGACACTGAGAGTGAAAATATTCTTTTGTAAGTAAATATTTTCGTACATTTAAAATAGTGTAAACATTATTCAATAAGCATTGTTGTAGCACGAGTTATGACCTTCACGGAGTGTCAAAATTTAAAAGACAATTACTACTCACTCTTCTGATTGCTGAGAGACATTATCCTTGTCCTTGTGGGCCTGCCCAGAACTGCAGGAATTGCCCATGGCGCTGGCAATCACCTATCCCAACATCACCGTATAATTTTACTAATAACACTTTTCACCACTTAATATATAAATACAGAAGCACACGCGAAACACTTTTGTTTAGCATTGCCCGGTGTCACGACGAAGCGGCAAAATAAAGCGCAACAAGACATACACTCCTCGCGTCGTCGCAAACGCGAATAAAATCGATTTCGCGCCCTCTTGTCATTTGTTCCCCGCCCACTTCAGCCCGCGCGCCATTTTCGTTATCCATTTCACGTAGGTTTTACTAAAAAGTTTTCTTATCTAAGACATTAATAATATTATGAGAAGAATTAAAATAATTATGCATGATGAAAATAATAAGATAAATATAGGTAAATTTTTTCCATACAACGGAAAGCATTAGGAACGATACCTATAAAAAGGTTGAATTATTTCTATTCAATTTGACACTGGCAATTAATAGAATTATGCCTAATACGTTTAGGTTCAAATTTTTCGAACGAACATTCTTCTATTGTTTATTTTCTGTCGAATTTCAACAAGTGCTTTGTGCAGTTATCGTAGTTTTTTGTGTTTAAAGTGATTTCTGTGGGTTTTCTGATGTTGTATTGCACTTGTGGTGAAACTATAAGAAATGCCCAAGTGTTTTATGAACTCCGTGAGGCCGTTAAGAGGATTTTTCATTCATAACTCAGGTAATAAATATGATGGAATCTTTACCTTACTCATGATCTTATAAACATTGTGAAGAGGTCTTTTAGGGCTTTACCTTTAGCAAAATAAATCAGTTTATAGTCTAGTAAGTAGTACTAATATGTAATAATTTCTTATTTAAGAATGATGAATCTGTTGCTTCTCTCGAAAGTGCATATACCAAGTAGTATTTTTTATACATAAAAGCAATATTGCTAAATAGTTTCTCATAGGCTCGAGATAACTTACGTTACACATTTAAACAGTTACACCCCGTATTTAATGTCTATATGTATATTACTCTAAATATTATAAATTTTGTCACAGCGTTTTTTTGCATCTATTGTATACATCCATTATTTTATTTGTAGATGAAGTAATAAAATCATCTCGAGGGCCAAAAATGTCGCTAAAAAAACAGAAGACTCTTTTAAAAAACAACGAAACCATATACAACGACAAAGTACCAATTTCCACGCGCTTTTATCTCCAACTTTTAAAGAAAAGTCAGTTCCTATCGCATTTTATTGACAATGAGAACTACGACTACGCATCTGAAACCGAAAAGCCGATTATTTCAGAGGTTAATAAGAAAAATAATACGAATCAAAAACGTGAAGCCGATAAATCCACGTACAATCTACGATCTTCCGAAAGAACGGTAAGGAAAGTATTCTGCGAAAAACCTAGAAGACGGAAAAAGAAGATTATAGAAGCACAAGAGAAGACCATTGAGAAAAAAATAATAAAAGAGCCTCTTGCTCCAATAATAGAAGAGTTGAAAAGCAGGGAACCTCTTAAAAGTTCATTTAGAGGATCTGAAATCGACAAAATTGCAGAAAAGCTTAAAAGCCTGGTACGCAGTAATGAAGAAGAGAAGCTAACTAAAGAGTTGCTGTACTGCAAAGAGTCATTTGAGAAGGAGAATTTGATTCCTGATAGCAATAATACAGTCTTGAAAGAGGGTAAGAAATGTTTGTATGTATGTTATAAACGTTATTAAACAGGTCATAATCATACTTATCTTTTGTCGTAAGTTTAAACATTCGTTAAACACGAAAGATTTTATAGACGGATAATTTATTCGTTATCATAAACTAAAGAACATTATTTAGGCAGAGACGTGGATAATCTGCATTATCTATGTAGTAAGGGAACGTAAGCGATTTAAAAATGTTGTTGAGTGAGGTGTTATAACTTAAGACTATTTCACAGAGATCAAAAACCATACAGAGCTGAAGAAAACAACACCACGTACCAATGCTGGTGAGGGCTGATACCTAATAAATCTTCAATTATTCGTCGATGGTAACATAGTAATCGAAAATTTATTACAGATTATAAATGTGCTGAAGAACGGCGTCCAAGGCCATGCCACGTGTGTTCGTACTGCGGCAAAAGCTTTGATAGGCCGTGGGTGCTCAAAGGACATCTGCGCCTGCACACCGGAGAAAGGCCATTTCCATGTCCATACCCGCATTGCGGTAGAACCTTCGCTGATCGGTAAGTTTATGTTTCATTAATGTATGTTCCGAAGACACTGAGATTTTTGAGAACTCGGAATGTCGACTGTAAAAAATGTAAAAAATTTGCGTTAATAACAGATAAAAAGTTTTATTTAAATGTATAGCCTTTTTTCAAGCTGTAGGTACTGTCTGTACAAATACAGAAGCTGTGTGCCATCCTAACCAAATATTATCTTTTTTTCGTTTCGATATAACTATATACAATGGATGTTACGATCTGGTCTGAAATAAATATATATTTATAACTCATATTTTTGTTTAAAGTTCGAATCTTCGCGCCCATCAACGCACTCGTGGTCATCACTCGTGGCAATGGCGTTGCCAAAATTGCGGCAAAGCTTTCAGCCAGAACAGATACTTGGAGAGACATAGAGCTGACGCTTGCAAAAGATATAAGTAAGCATACTTTTAGATAATTATAAAATAAAATAAAATGTTTTATACTTACGCTACTTAATTTCGTTTTCTACCGACAAAAATACATATAATATAGAGTTTCTGGAATCGATTCTCAGCAGAAAAACATGGCCTTATTACGAATAATACGTGGAATCGAATAGATAACATAATAGAAAAGTAATGATTTTTTTGTATGGGAAACTCTAAAGCGCTACGTGTGTAGTTATGTAATAGGAGGCAAACGGGCAGGAAGTTCACCTGATGTTAGCCCATGGACACTCACATTGCCAGAATGCTCGAAAGTGCGTTGCCGGCCTTTTATGAATTGGTACGCTCTTTTTTTTGTAAGTCGAATTGGTTCGAAAATACTCAGTGGGCAGCTGGTTCCACATAGTGTGGTGCGCGGCAAAACCTGCCTTGAAAAACGCTCAGTTGTAGAACGGACGTTGAGGTGATACGGATGGTATTTTGTATTCTGCCTTGACGTCCGATAATGAAACTTAAAGCTAATTCAAGTTTTCTTTCAGGCTAAATACAAGGCAAGCCCACAGTACAACTCTACCAAACAAGGAAAGCATTCCACTTTACGGTGTTATACGAAGAAATGTACTTACTAAACCAGATGTCAATATTTATTGTAAAGATTTTAATGAAGAGCCAATAGATTTGTCGATTCGGAAAAGAATGGATTGACCCCAATAATGTGTTTTATTTACAAAAGCATTCGTGTTTAGTCAAGAAATTCCAATAAGATTACAGTTCCATTAATTCTTCTAGTCATACTGTAAGATGGACATCAATTACGTTAATATTTTAAATTAAATATGGCCTGAAGCGCCAAATGCTAACAGTATTGGCAATATAGTATTATATCAGATAGATCATTCTTTGAAATTTTTAAGGTGGTTCGTAAGCCGTTCTAGTTACTTTTGTAATATTAGCAGAGTTGGCCTAGTGGCTCTCATCCCTGAGGTCGTAGGTTCGTGCGCACCTAATACTCGCTCGTACGGTGACTGAAAATATATCGGGTTGTAGCGCCATTTGTCTACTACTACTACAATTGTAGTATCATAGCCATGACTTTTACTTACCCCCTAGAAAACTAGTCTTGAACTAATTAAGATTGATAGATTATGAACAAGATGGCAGTAACAAAACAACGTACATATCACATTTTATTTACACAACATGAACACTAAAAATATGTTTTAATTTAACATCATTCGTAAATTAATTAAGTAAATATAAATGACACTACAACAGTTATTTCATCTTGACAACTAGCACCATGGAATGGACACGTATAGCTAAAGCAATCGCGTTATAAATAAAATTTCATAGATATTGCAAATGTGAAACAATACAATCTCTTCCATGGTGCAAATAGTTGAAAATTGTGTTTAATACGTAATCTAAACTTACGTCAATCGAATAGGTAAACAGTTAAATACATTCTAAATAATATTTGTTATTACTTAAGTAAATATATAATTGAATATTTAACAGCAATAAAATATAGCTAGCTAATAATTTTTAAATGTAGAAACATTGCGGTTGAACACATGCGTGCTTTTCTTGTTCGGTAAGAGCGTCACTGTAATGTATTGCCAGTAAATAAAAATGGATCTTTGATTTTATTACTTGGTGGTGCCGTGAACAGTAATTATTTACTTTTTTACTCACATTACCCACCACATAGTCTATGCTTGAAAACGAAATGCATTTTCGAGGATTCCTACAAAAAATTAATACGTTTATGTACTATAATTTTTAAAAGCTTTTGCCGACAAGAGGAAGGGGGATAAATTGCAGTAAATCTAAAATACATGTATTACTAAATGTAATACATGTATTTTTGCACTTCTTGCCTATCTTATGTAATTTAATACATTTTTTTTCTTACAGTGGTTGCCTGGAAGAGATCGCTCGAAAGCGATAAGGCCGCCAGTTGCTCTCCTTTTTATTTAATTATGTCAATTGTACTATATTAATGTATATGCAACGAAGCGTTAATAAATAAATAAATAAATAAATCTGCTTACGTATACTTGAACGGCCCTTTAGTTGGATGATTATTAGATGTTGGTAGATAGTAAAATTATGAGTTGTATTTGAGAGCAAACTGTCGTTTAAGTCTCACATTTCAAAATGGCGACGGTAGTACCAATTTCAGCCGCCGGCCAAGAAAAGTATGTGGCACTGTATACACAGAATCAGCCACGGACGCACGCAAATCTCGTTTTGTTACCAGTTCTACATGAATAGGCTATTTGACAGGATTTAAAAAACATTTCAGGTTATCTATTAGAGACTATATATACATATTTTATAATTCTGTTATTGGCTTTAAAAATGGAACAATCACAACTTCAAGATCCCGCCAAAACGCTTTTTTAAGAAAAACGGTAACGCATCAATGACGTACCACATCTGTACACGTAAACAAACGTCAAGTTTTCTTACGAGTTAATTGTCATTCTTAAATTACATATAGACATATTTTTCGATCAAAAATCCAACGAAATTTAACTCCAACATAGTATTAGAATTAGACAGACAAAAACTATTATTTACAAGCATGCTACTTCGTCGTCAATATGTCTATTCTGTGACCGTTTTGTGTCACGTGACTGACCTAGGAAATTAAATACTTTTTAAAGCCATGTTTTATACAGATTACTCTCAATAACACTTTTCATACCGTCAAATAGCCCATTGCTACGCCCTTTCGTAAATTAAACTATAACATAAAATAAGTAACATTTACCCGAAAAGTAACTTTGGCACATTAAACTTTGAAAATGATTCCAATGAATATATATAATATAAATGATATTGACTTGAATGTTTCGCCTGTATATTTAAAGTTTAAAGTTTATTGTTTTAAGCATTTTGGCTTTAACTACATACAATAATTGAAAACTACGACTAGGTAACAACAATATTAAAGCGTAAATAAGGTTTATACTAATATAAGCGTTTTAATATAAATCACATTGTTTTGAATATATCAAACGATTATTGCGATTGAACTGGGTTTGACCAATCACAATCGAACGAAACGAGCCATCGCGCCTTTTCAATGTTCAATTCTCAATTTGAAAAACATTAATTATGGTCATATAATCTATATTCATTTCGCGCGTGATATAGTCTGTGCAGAAAAGAACTCATTTGGCACGCGTCACTATGTTATTTATTTACCAAAAATTATAATCATTTTTTTAAATGTATCAACATACTGTCGAACTATAATGACGTCAACATACCAAGGCGATGTCCAAATCCTCCCACGACGGTTCTTTAGTAAATTTTACAATAATATTATTTTAACACATACAAACATTAGAATATACTTTGTGCGTTTTAACAATTAAAGCGGTATCTTATGTACTAGTATAATCAAGTCACGTGACTACTAAATAACCATATATTTTAAAAGAAACTGTGGAACAAACACAATACGAACATAAAATGGTACTAATTGTGATTGAGACTAGAGTGGAGAACCAGCTAGGACTTGCTGAGGGTATTAGATATGGTGGAGAACTCTCATTCCAACCTAAAGTGAAGGTCCTCAAGTCAACCCACTGCGGGCTCTAAGCCTCAGTTTCGGAGTCAGAAACTGTAACTCCAGTTTGTCAATGTGTTGGATTTGACGTAAGCGGTAAAGTCTCGACTCCAACGCCCTATTGGCTTATGTCGAGATCAAATGATCGTATTTCGGCATCGGCATAAGAAATGCTTTGCTATTAAACACAGATTAAAAATGTGATTCTATAGTGATTTTTTATTAAACATCAAAATTAGCACCACCATCGATAATTTGGCGAAAAGATATGGCAACACTCAATCACAATTTTTGATAAAGGCACAATTTTGTTACAACATAGGTTATCTTTGCATAAATATACATTTATTTTAGTAAGAAATAGTCAAACATAGGATTTTTATGATATTAATTGATAATTTTTATTTGCGTAATAGATTAATAAGTAAGCAACATTGCCATTTTTTAACATTGCATATTATACAAGAAAAATCTTTGTTAAAGAAAATTATGAAAAGTTCAATATTTATTTTATCTTTTATACTGTATATTAAAATTGGCGACGGTTAAATATTTGTTAAAAAATACTATAATGGCAATGTTCCTTATTCGCTAAAATAGATTATAAAAATTGACAGTTCATTTAGATAATTATCAAAGATCGATAGAAATATATAAATTTCGCTAAAATAAAATTACTTTAGAGGTAAGCTTCCGTGTTGTACCTGAAAAAAAAAATATTTTGAATAAAAAAAATAGTAATTAAATAATTAAGAAATTATATAACATATACAGTGTAAAGTCTTTATAACGAATTTCAAGGGACCGAGCATTTTTTTCGTTATAGAAATTTTTCGTTATACGGAGAGAAGAGAAAAAAAAACAAATTAACCAATTACAATAATTTCTAATTTTATTACTATCAATAAGTACATTATTTTAAACACATATATTCTGGTAACAATGCCTGACGTGTTTTACTATGCCAATATTTGTTTTGTGTTTTTTTGAGTATTTTGTCTGGTCATCTTGACAGTTTGTTTACGAATAATGGCACACGTGTTAATGCAATTAACAATAACAAAGGCGAGACGGCTGTTTATGACCTCAGGTGTCTTTCTTAGAAATTTCTTGCTGATTATAAAAACAATTTAACTTAAGTATTTTGTTAATGTCTAAATATGAAAATATTTCTTTGTAATAGAGAATGGCTGTTGCTAGGTAATTACGTAGATGTTTAAGGGGGAGGGGTCGAGTCAAATCTCTTTAATCTTACGTGGAGGGGGGTACGCAAATCCGTAATTTTTTTCTGATTGAAAAAAATAGGACGTTGACCCAAAACCTCTCTCAACTTCCCCAACTCCACCACCTCACATTCACTTATTTTGTTTTAGTCGTAAAAAAAACACAACATTTTTTCTTCTTTTTACAATAAAATCCAACCTTACGTAAGAAACCCACATTTTGAAAAATCCACATGGGGGAGGGGGGGGTAATAAAATCTCACTTCACCAGGGGAGGAGTCACAGAAAATTAAAAACACCTCCGTAATTTATGGACGCCCCATTATAAAGAGTGTATTAAAGTATGGGTTTTGTGTTATACAAAACATATATAACTCATTTTTACGTTATAGAGAATGTTTCTTCTTTCGTTATAATGAATGACATTATATAGAGTTTACACCTGTATAAGAAATTATACTCTTTACATCCAGCGCGGGTTTAGATAACCCTTAAAGTCGTGCGTTCGAATCCAGCCAATGGGTTTTTCTATATGCAAAAATAGCAGTACCAAAAATCGATATCTCGATCTGACCCTTAACAACAGAGATTGGTCTGCTTATCCAATAACTTAGTAAATACCTCAAGAACATTATAAAGGTGGCTCTTCTCTTAATCCCTCGCTGTGTCGTGTACGACCCGCCATATCCAAGATAGCCTTTGCGTCGGGATTTGTGTCTAATATACTCGTGTCGCGTTCATCCTACGAAATATTAATTTCATATAAATAAAATAAAATAGTAACGCTAATATTTAGGTCTAGGCCTCAGATTTCTGTATGTTTCATGATAATAAAACACTATTTGACCGGATTGAAGTTATGTATTATTATAAATTTACAACTATTTAACATAATTTTAAATTTATCCGACGTTTCGCGTGCTTTACAGCGTGCGTGGTCACCGTGACCATCGGATAAATTTAAAATTATGTTAAATAGTTGTAAATTTATAATAATACATAACTTCAATCCGGTCAAATAGTGTTTTATTAAATGAATAAAAGTTATGTTAATCAAAGACAATACTATGTTTCATGATCATTTGTCAGTCTTATAGGCAAGTAGGTGATCAGCCTCCAGTGACACACGCAGTCGACTTTTTGGGTCTAAGGTCTACTCACGATGTTTTCTATCACCGTAACAGCGAGTATTAAAAGCGCATATAGACAGAAAGTCCAACACTGCTACTAATTTCATAAAACCATACAAACCTCCCCTTTAATATCAGTGTATCAGGCTTTCAACCGTGTGTACCAATAAACTATCGTGAGCAAAATTGAAATTTTAAGCAAACTACAGATTGTATAACAAAAAACAATGATTAAATATTGAAATCCCAATGTAAACTAAATTGTAGTTTAAGTAAACAATTTAAAACGAAATCTATGAATTAAACATATTGGTTTCATAACAATAATATAATAATAGTAGTATTTTAAAAGACGAAAAAGAAAAATGATATATATTAAATACAATGTAAAAATATAACTTAGCTGCAATAAATACCTACAAATACTTCAATTACATATATTTTTAATATTTAAAACCACTTGGCTATATTTTAAATCAATACTAATTAATACTAATATGTTAATTACTTAAATATACAATGCAGCAGTGGCATTTGATTCCGGCGAATCTAAAATGATTATTTCGTGTTGGAAGATAGACTATGTGTGTTTGTTTGTTTTAACGCCATCTTTGGTATTATATGGTAATAAACAATACAAGGAAATATTTATTTATATAATGTATTCAGTGATAAATCATCATCAGCTATTCATAGTGATAAACTAAAAAGTACCGGGAGATCAGCCAGTGAAGGAGTTTTGTATTAAGTGTTTGTTTGTATATCTAAGATTAACAAACTAATAAAAAGTACTAGGGAATCAGCTATTCATAGTGATAAACTAAAAAGTACCGGGAGATCAGCCAGTGAAGGAGTTTTGTATTAAGTGTTTGTTTGTACATCTAAGATTAACAAACTAATAAAAAGTACTAGGGAATCAGCTATTCATAGTGATAAACTAAAAAGTACCAGGAGATTAGGTTATATGGGGATCGGGAAGGTCCTCACTGTACACGGGTTTGCCGATCATGTGCATGAAGTTCAGCTCAGACTTGTGCGCATCTAAAGGGCTATTTCGCTCGGATACTGCTAGGAGCTAGGATAGGATTTAGGATTAGGTGATTAGGATTTCAAAGTATATCTAACATATAAAATTCTCGTGTCACAATGTTCGTTCCCATACTCCTCCGAAACGGCTCGACCGATTCTTATGAATTTTTTTATGCATATTCAGTAAGTTTGAGAATCGGCTACTATCTATCTTTCAAACCCCTAAGTAATAAGGGGTGTCCACACAAAAAAAATTGTTTTATTTTTTAGACAAAATTTCATGTTTATTTTTTTATGATACAACATACAAAAATACATACAACCCTTATTTTTCATCTACTCTCTACGATCAACCCCTATTTTTTATTTGTTAGTTAAGAAATTATAACTTGAACTGAGGTTTATATAGAGAAAAATTACAAAAAACAGGCATTAAGGAGAAACAGAGTTCGCGGGGGCAGCTACTTTTTTAATAATATTCAATTAACCCAGGGATAATCTAAGGGCACAGGAATTTTTGAAATTAAATTCATTATTATTAGTAAAGAAAAAGCGCTGATATTTCGAATAGTACTAATTGATGAAGATAGTTTTAGCTTAAATTAAAAGAAAATAATAAAAAGGGCTACCTCATCCTTTTCCAAAGATGGTTTGTCCCCAACGCCCCACACTTCAATCGAGCGGATACGGAAATGGGGTTCCTTGCTCAGTCTCTTGTATCCACGGAATGTGGAACAAGATTCCGCTGAATTACCCTCACCGAAGGGTTCCGCGGGCAGCCATATACCACCAAACTCCAACTGACCACCCATTAGCTGAAAAATATATTTATATTACACTTATTACCCACATTACTAATATTAATACGTTTATGTACCATTATTTTTGAGAACTTTGGGACAGGACTCCTCAATGAATATGTAGCATAATATACCTAATATATAAAATTTTCGTGTTATTTGTTATCAAAGTCCTCTGAAATGGCTCAAACGATTTTCGTAAAATATTTGTGTACATATCGGTTCGATCTGCGAATCGGAAAACATCTATTTTCATCCCTTTAAATGTTAAGGTTGGTTTTTAGACAAAATTTTTTGTTTTTATTTTTATATCATACAGGATACAACAAAATTTTTTTTTTAAATGTATTATTTTTATTTTTTTGTATCATAAAAAAACATACAACACTTAATTTTCCCTTCTCTACGATCAACCCCTATTTTTTATTATAGTAGATAGTTATATGTATTGAACTAAAAAAATGTTTTCTAGAAATAATATACATAACAAAAGAACGTCGAGATAAGGGTTGTCGTAGGGGGGTGAAAATTCCCTCCCCACCGCAGATGTCCAGCCTGCGGGGTCCGAGCCTTGACGTGGCCGGGGAGGGCTTAGTAACTGGGGTGCAAACCAGCACCTTGGTGAAGCTAATCGGACATAGAGGGGGGCCATTCTATCTGGCCCCAGCGGCGCTTCATGCGCGTGGTATGGCTGGCCTTTAAGGCTGGCGAGGCTCGTCGAATTGACGGCGAGCCCCTAACCTCAAGTTTCTGGCGCCCGGCGATGGGGTGAGTGGCCGGAGGGAGTTCGGTCCCGAGGGCGTCCCAGGGTGAGCTGTCTTACCTGGATAAAAATTAAAGCGAAAATGAAGACAAATACTTGTAAAACTACCCCAGGCGGGTCAAATCCCGCCACCTGCTCGCAAGAGCCGGTGCAAAAGTCCCACCGTACTCTGGGGGGGGACAATCTTCATGATTCCGGCGCTTTTGCCGAGGCGAGCGAGGAGAAAATTATTAGAAAAGACACATGCGATAGTAGGATGATATCCACGGACCAACCAATAAACCCGGATCTGAGAGAATTACAAGAAGTGACCGTGGTGCCTGAGCGCACTCTATGTATTACGCCGGTGCCGAGCGTTTCCAGGGACATTTTTGGCGACCATCCAGTCGACGCGCCTACGTCTGATGCTGGGAGGTTATCGGATTCCTCCGCGACATCTATGGTCAGCGCCAGATCATTGGATTGTACAGACCCTACATATCCTAGATTCTGGAGTTCTCGCAAACGAACCAGGAGTGGCGAAGACGATGGCGACAGTACAATCAGTGAGTCGTCTGTTCGGACCCCACTAAAAGTTGCTACAACAAGAAGAGGAAGAGGCCGCCCACCAAAATCCAGAGGGTACATGGGCTTGGCGCCTGCTAGGTCTGCTTATTTAAAGGCCAAGAAAACGGAAAAGGAAGCCCAGGCTGAGGAGGAGATCCTCGCTTCATTGACTGAGCCGAGTAAACCCGCACCAACACCAGCGGCAATGAATGCAGAAGGGGAAATTTTGACGGCAGATCTAGCGCAGAGGCGCATCGAAGCTAATCTGCAAATGGTAGAGAAAGTCGCGACTAAGTCAAAAAATCTTAAGGGTACATTTGTCCACGCCCTCAAATCCGTCGCTAAGTCGATTAAAGAGGACACTGAGGTACTCGCTCAGATGTCTGTTTCGGATGAGACGCGAGCTCTTCGAAGTGAAAACGAGCGGCTTCGAAACTTTCTGGAGGCGCTCCAAAAAGAGATGGGAGAGTTGCGAGAGCTAATAAAGCAACGCCCTACAGAACCGGTACCTACACCGGACTTAGAGGACCTTGAGGCAAGGCTCATGAGCCGCCTTGGGGATAGGATCAATGCTAGAATAGAAAGCATAGAACCAAGACTCAACCCGGAGCCTCGCATACGACCACCTCTCTCCGCTGACAAATATAAGCCGGAGGCTGTGGCAACAACGACGGGGTCCTCCAAGGTTAGAAAGACGACAGCAGCGCCCACTTCGAATACAGTGGCAACACAACCGGAGGACGGCGTGAAAAAGAAGAAAAAGAAGAAGAACCATAAGAGAAGGCAGGAGAATGTGCCTACAGGGACAACTGTCCCTAATGCTGCCCCTCTATCACCACCGTGCCCACTGCCAGAGCTTCCCTCTACTAATGAAGCGTGGAATAAGGTGGTAAAGAAAGGATTGCGCCGGAAGAAGAATGAAGGTGCTCAACAACTTCCAGCACAACCTAAGAGACAGGCAATGGCGACAGCTGCAAAACTGAAGCTCCGTACGCCCAGTTCCGCAGCAGTTGTTTTAACGCTTCCGCCGGATGCCGAAGAGAAAGGCCTTACAAACGTAGCAGTCCTAAAAGAGGCGAAGACAAAACTAAATCTGGCGGAGCTTGGTATAGAAGCGGTCCGGTTCAGACGAGCTGTCACGGGGGCCACCATCATTCAGGTCCCCGGGACAGGTGGTGAGGAGAAGGCGGATATTCTGGCGTCTAGATTAAAGGAGGTCTATGGTGAGGGAAGAGTTCGGGTTTCCAGACCTGTTAAATCAACTGAGTTGATGATCTCGGGGCTGGATGAGACAGTCACCCCAGAAGAGGTCAAACAAGCCATTTGCTCTAAGGTCAGTTGCTCGCCGGACAATGTGAAGGTCGGAAGAGTCCGTCAGAACAGGACTGGCCTTTTTGCGGCATGGGTCAGGTGCCCAGTGACGGCGGCCAGAAAGCTGACCGAAGGAAGGTTATTAGTGGGATGGGCTTCTGCCCGAGTTGTTCTCTTGAGGGCCCGAGAACTGAGATGTTTCCGCTGCTTTCAGGGCGGCCATGTAGCAGCACGGTGTACTGCAGATATGGACCGCAGTCACCTTTGTTTTCGGTGTGGTCAATCTGACCACCGAGCAGGGAGTTGCTCTGCAAATCCGCAATGCGTTCTGTGTGCTGCGGCTGGCCAGAGAGCAAACCATCTACTGGGGGTAACGCGTGTTCGGCCCCCAGCAAAAGATGCCCAGAAGGACGTGGACCGCGAACAAAACGGCCACTGGTGCCCCACCGATCGGGGATACGGAGCAAATGGAGATAACACCTGGTTTATAGATGTCCCTCCAAATCCTACAGGCGAACATCAACCACTGCGCCAAAGCTCAGGATCTTTTACTCCAGAGCATGGCGCAGTGGTTAATCAATATCACAATAGTATCGGAGCCGTATGTGATCCCCCAGAGGGAAAACTGGTTTGGCGACCGCAACGGTTTAGTTGCGATTGCCGTTTCGTTGCCTGAAGGCTTGCCTCGAGCCTCGCTAAAAGGAAACGGCTGTATCGCTGTTAAACTAGAAAAAGTCGTTGTAATTGGAGCTTATTTTTCGCCGAACCGGAGTATTACAGAGTTCGAGGCCTTTCTGGCAGAAATGGGCTCCCTGGTGGAATGGGCTCGACCATTAAATGTTATTGTTGCAGGGGATCTCAACGCGAAGTCGTCTATGTGGAACTCTCCGGTAACCGAAGCCCGTGGCGATGCGGTGGTTGATTGGATCGCCACTCACAACTTGGTGATATTGAATCGAGGATCGGAACGCACATGCGTGCGAATGCAGGGCAGTTCTATCGTTGATGTAACTTTTGCATCCCCGGAACTAGCACATCGCGTCTCCAACTGGCGTGTACTTACAGAGGTTGAAACGCTTTCGGACCATAGGTACATTCGGTGCCTGGTGAGTCCCCATCAACAGCTACCACCAGCAACTGGTAGATCAAATCAGCCTCCACCGGAAATAGGGCCAAAATGGTCCCGTAAAAAACTGGACTTTGACTCCCTGTCTTTGGCATCTTTGACAGAGGCGTGGTGCCCTAAGCCAAATACTATCTTAGCAGATAGAGAGGTGCAATGGTTCGGAGAGGCTTTGCGGCGTATTAGCGACGCTGCAATGCCAAGGATCCGCCCTATTCCGCCCCGCCGACAGGTGTACTGGTGGTCGCCTGAACTCACCCAGCTACGGACGGCTTGTGTAGTTGCCCGACGCCGCTACACCCGATTACGTCGAAGACGCCTTGCTCCACGCGATCCGGAAGAAGAAAGAAGGTGCTACGGCAAATACCAAGCAGCAAAATTAACTCTGCGCATTGCAATCGGAGAGGCCAAAGAGAAAGCTTGGGAAGATCTTTTACAAACTTTGGAGCTAGACCCATGGGGGCGGCCATATAAGCTAGTGATGACCAAGCTGCGCCCTTGGCTTCCGCCAGTCACTACCACTCTAGAACCGGTGTTCCTGGATACGGTAGTCTCCGCGCTATTCCCAGCTAACAGTTCGCAACCAACATCTCGCGACGACCTCCACTATGATGAGGAAGTCCAAGAAGTGACGCCTGAGGAACTCTCTGTGGCAATACTAAAGCTTCAGAGCAAAAAGACAGCCCCCGGACCAGATGGTGTTTACGGGAAGGTCTGGGTCCATGTCCTCAATAACGGGCTGGAAGAAAGGTTTCGGGAGTTGCTAACCCATATTTTACAGAACGGCCACTTTCCGAGTAGCTGGAAGACGGGAAAACTTGTATTATTAAAGAAAGAGGGTAAATCACCTGAGTCCCCATCGGCCTATAGGCCGATTGTTTTATTAAATGAAGCAGGCAAGCTATTCGAGCGAGTGCTAGCAGCCCGCATTGTAAAACACCTTGCAACGGACGGGCCGGATTTGGCCGATACCCAATTCGGTTTCCGGCGCGCCCGGTCTACCATCGACGCCGTTGCAAGGCTAAGAGACGTTTGCGAGGAGACACTCGCGCAAGGAGGGGTGGTGCTGGCGGTCTCATTAGACATAGCAAACGCTTTTAACACCATCCCCTGGAATACCATTATAGACGGCTTAATCTTCCATGACGTACCAGTATACCTCCGGCGCATGATAAGGTCCTACCTTTCGGCCCGAACCGTCATCTATCCGGGTCGGGGAGGTTGGAAGGAACACAGGGTTGAGTGTGGTGTTCCACAAGGGTCTGTTCTAGG